CCTTTGGCCCCTTGGCTTCACTGTAAAGTTGATCCATTTTCTTCAGTTTATGGGTCAAATTAAAATTTTACTATTTTTAATATGTCACATCATCAAATTAATGGACGTTGAGGATCAACGATCAAAACATAATGAATTAATAATCATATATAAATAACTGAAAAATAAATTTTTCAAAATTGGTGACCAAAAGTAAAAATGACCTTAAGTATAGTTCACCCTATAAAAAATGACTTAATTTAAAGAATATCATCTTTTTTTATCTAAATATCTAATGTATTTTAGTCAAAGTATGTTGTCCTTTGCATTTAGGTACCTAAAATATTTTTTTTATCAAAGTGGGTACCTAAAATATACCACATTTTTCATCTAGGTACCTAAAATTTCTTTTAATCAATGTCATGTGTCAACTTTAGATACAAAAGATGATATTATATATATATATATATATATATATATATATAAAAAAAGATATTTTGACACCTAAATGAAAATGCAGTATACTTCAAATAATTACTTTGATAAAAAATTATGTTAGATACATAAATAAAAATGTCATATACTTTAAGTAACTATTTTTAAAATAAACTTAAAAAATATTTATAGAATATTTTTATTTTAAATTATCAAACACATTGAAAAAATAAATCATTCTTAAATTACTAAGACCTCTTTATTTAATATATATTTATCATATTTTTCGTTCAAAAATATATATTTATCAGTATAATAGTTTAAATGTTAATATCGTATAACTAAATTAAATGAGCCAAAAATATTACTATTTAAACTAAAAGTTAAGCAAGTGCAGAACGTTTGGAAGTGCTGCTTGCTGCACATTCCTGGAAAAAGTTCAGTGGAAGGTCCTGAGTTGTCTCCTATTGGACGATAAATCTCAGCAGTGGAGGATGTAAGTAGAATATAGGGTGTGCATGTAATCCAATTTTTTTTATATTAATTATATATTTTATTAATAATATTTATCTTAAAATTTTATTTATATTTATTTATATGAAAAATTATTTATTAATATATATGCATTAATCTTAAAAAATATTTTTAAATTCATCACGATACGTATATCATAGCGTATGATACTTACTGTGTTAAATTTACTTTGTTTTGTTTATCGAGACCAAAGAGTCAATATCATAAAGCTTAGGCGATAACTTCCATGCTTACCAATCATAATTCCAAATAAATAAAACTCCTTAATGGGAAAAAAATTGTCTATTTCCTTGAAAACGAAGTGCGAGCCCAATAATTAAAGAAGGATGCATGAATCAACAAAGGCAAACATGTTCCACAAAAAAACACCTAATTTTTGTTTCCTTGTTTGTTGTTGTTGTTGTTCTGGGAATTCCTTGTTGCAAAAGCAGAAGTGTTTGGCGTAGGATGTTTCGAGGGAAATTTCTTTGTGGGCCGTGGTTTTCGGCTTAAAATGGACAAATTCCATCATCGGGGAATGGGGGGGACTCTTTTTCCTTGGCTTGTCTTGTAAAACAAATGGCAGGGTTTGGTTGGATTGGTAACATTGAGATGTACAAAATAAGACCGGTGATTGTCTATCTCAATGTCAGTCGCGTTCCAAAATTTCAAGCCTTCAACCAACGTCTATCTTCTGCGATTGGCGTTCCCCAGCTCAACGCCGGGGGATTTAGGCTTCTCCGGTTCCTCACCATTGTGGTTGGTTAAATCTAGTTAGGATAGATCTGATCTAAAAATTTAATATTTTCATTCGTAACAAATTCGGCTCGAATATAGGAAAATCCCACCAAATCTAAGATTCGACCTGATTTTTGACATAAAACTTACATCCAATTCCACTCGATCCAAATATATATATATATATAATTTATTTTTATTAGATAAAATAATGATTTAATTAAGAAAATATAAAGAGATATTATTGTAATTATCCATAAACATATAAGAGATAATTATAATATTAACTCGAGTCAGATTGGGTTGAATAAAGTTTTTTTCAACCTAAACTCGAACCCCTCATCCTTTGAAAAACCAGTGCTGAACCAAATTCAAAATTTTAATATATAAAATCAGCTCAATCAAATTAGATCGAAACTCATCGAATTCGAATCAAATACTCGTCCCTAATTTGATCAATGATTTTATTTTGTTTATATATCACATTTTTAGGGTTTAGGTTTTCCACCCAGCTCCATAAAGGAAAATCCAAAAGTAAACCACTAAATCACGAATTATCTAGAAGAAAAGGACCACTAAATCACGAATTATCTAGAAGAAAAGGGTGAAAATATACAATGCTACGATCAATATAGTTCAATTAATGCATACTACAACTTCGTTTATAAGAAATGACACACTTGATATCTATATTACCTGTCAATATGAATATATTTGATTAGGTGCATACTTATTAATTGAATATTTATTAGCATTTTGATGATAATCAAAGTTTTGAGTATTATATATATATTTATTTATCATATCAGTTCTTTTTCTAAAAAATCATCACAAATTGGGAAGGTGTTATACTATAAATTTGTATTAAATAAGAGAGATATTATGGAAATAATTTAATATACAAGCTAATAATAAATTTTTCACATTAATTATTTTATTTAATATTAAAAGATATTAATATAAACGCTATTTCTAGACGTGAGGTAAAACGAAATTCTATATCCGGATAGTTAATGAACTTTATAAGAAAATTAATTAAAAATTAATCCGCAGTGTACTAAAACCAACCCTCAAATTTTGAATATTAACAATCAGTATTTTTTAAACAAAATTAGATATTCAAATCTTGAAGTTTACGAATGAAACAAATTATATTAAGATGATCTCTCTCACTTCTATAATACTCGATCTGAATTAATAAATCAATAGATCTAATATAAATAGTTATATAAAAAAAACCTCGAGTTTTGAATACAGTACGGACTCGGTAAAACGTTACAAGCCGGACTTTCAAAATTTGAAATCACCCACCAACAGTCCAGTCTCGTTCCCAAACGTGGAACTCATTGCTGAATCCCAATATTACCCACAACACAATTAATTTAATATAATTGTATAGGGGTAATAAAGTCTTTTCAATCTACGGCCTTGATCAAGCTGAAAAAATGTGGAGTACGGGTTGGTGTTTTCTCCACAACCATTAGTCTAATACGACGGCAAAACAAAAAATATATTTCAAATTAGAGTAAATTGCACTTATATCCTTTAAATTTTTAGAATATTTGTATTGTGATCATTAAATTTTTAGTTTGTAAAAATTCAGAGACTACAAATAGGACTATAAACGATCTGAGCTGAACCTTAAGTACATGAAAACCTTATATTGTATTATTTTTAATAAAAAAATCAATACATAAATGTTAATATTATTAATAATTTATTTTTTTAAATATATTTTTTCGAGTTACTCACGAGCTTTTCGAGTTGAGTATCAAGTAATTTGTTTTGGCTCGTTAAAAACTCGAGTTCGAATCTATTTGAATTGACTATTTATCGAACTTTAATCGAATTGATCTCGAGTAGCTCACTATCTGTCTCATGTCAATTTACGGACCTAATAACAAATACAATTATCCTTCAAATTAATTATATATAAAAAAACCAAAACCACCTTAGCCCGACTTTTTTACCTAAAAATCACCCAAATATTATAATATTACATGTCAGACACTGATTCACCAAATTTTATCGATCTAGCACCCTTTCTGATAAGACGCGTTACGTGAAATACACATTTGCTTAAGTGGACCGAAGGAGCGTTCCCTTAAGCGCGTCTTCTAAGAAAAATATTGGCATGGCATCGCATGTGAAGAAGCGCCTTCCAGGAGATTCCCTAAAAGCATTTAAAAAAATATACTTTAAAAATTGAAAACAAAACTATAAGGACTAATATCGTAATTTAATACATATTAATTCTATGAGTTGAAGAGCTTAATGGGGTTAGTTTATATACACATATTGTAATGTTTAGGTTATGTTTATTGACAATGTGAGATAAAAGCTAAAAGGTGTATTCCTTAATTTTTTTATCTTTATATCTAATGAATCTATTTATACACTATTATTAAATTACATTAGGTTAATATTTATTATTAAAGTTTATATTAATTAAGATAAGATCATTTTTATATGTTAATATATTTAAATAATTACATTATGTTAATATTTATTATTAAGGTTTATACTAAATTAACTTTTGAAACTAATATATATCAAAGGGGAAACAATATACTCATGTAAGATAATATATAAGATTAATTATATTCGGGCGCCTCAAACATCGTAAAATATTGTATGTTCTTTTGTTTTAAATATAAATTATGAGATAATGAGTAATTTCATGTAATTTATTTAATTATATGTTTTTGTTGTAGTAATTTGAGATGGAATAAGCTACAATATGTTCTTTCTTCTGAAAATTGGCGAGCTTAAGAGTCTAACACATATGTAAGTAATGCCTAGAAGTATTTTTTCACGTTATGATAATCAAGATTTTTAAATTGTGTTACATAAAACTTTTGAACTCATAATTAAAAAATTAAGTATTTAAATATATTAAAAAATAAAAAATATCTAATCTTAATTAATATAAACCTTAATAATAAATATTAACATAATGTAATTTAATAATAGTGTATAAGTAGATTCATTAGATATAGAGATAAAAAATTAAGGTGTACACCTTTTAACTTTTATCTCATATTGTCAAGAAACATAACTTAAACACTTTAATATGCATATGTAAACACTCTAGTGCTAGATTGGAAAAATTTGAGTAAACGATGATTGATAAATAATATTATAATATTTAGATGATTTTTTTTTTTATATATAGAAACGCCCCTTAGCCCACCCTTCCTGACTCCATCACTCATATAACGGGGGAAGCCATAATATATTTCTCCAACAACCATACATAACATCCATCCGCCATCATACATACATTACCATAAACTGCCTCTCCCTCCCTATATATACGCTTCTTTTGCCTTGAGTTTACCACTTCTAAGTTCAAACAGCTATTCGCTTTTCCTCACAGATCTCTCATTAACCAAATCTTCTTTAATTAATTTTAAAAATTTAGTCAAGTAATGGGTGAGGTTAGTTACTCGTTCTTTTCTTCTACATTCCCTTTGTTCTTTCTATTTCTAATCTTCAATGATTTGAGATTTTTTTTGGGTTTTAATTTATAGTTTTGTTTCTTGTTTTCCAGCAAAAAGGAGCTAAGCCAGAAGCTGAGAAGAAGCCCGCCGCCGATGCCGGCGCTAAGAAAGACGACGGCAAGATTATCTTCGTTTACAAGATTGATATGCATTGTGAAGGTTGTGCCAAAAAGATTAAACGCTCTATTAAACATTACGAAGGTAATTGGTGTTGATTGATTGATTAAATAATGACAATTGATTTTTGGAAATTTTCAAATTTGAATTGAAAAATCGATTTAGTTAGTCCCTGTGAATGGTTCGCCTAAGGAATAATCGGCGAATTGAATAAGGATCGGACTTGAGTACTAATTTTTTTCAATCTTAATTAGAAATTTGAATAAATAAATAATCCAAATGAAATTTCCTAACACGGACGTTGCTGTTGTTGTCGTTGGTTGAAGGTGTGGAAGATGTGAAGACTGATTGTGGAGCCAACAAGTTAACGGTGATTGGCAACGTGGATCCTGCCAAAGTCGGGAATATGTTGGCCGAGAAAACCAAGAAGAAAGTCGACCTAATTTCTCCTCAGCCTAAGAAAGATGCCGCCCCTGCCGCCTCTGGCGGTGGTGATAAGAAACCCGACGCTGAGAAGAAACCTGAGGAGAAAAAAGAAGCGAAGAAAGAAGAGAAAAATACTCCAAAAGAGGTAAATTTACACAAAAAAAGAATTTACATGCGAATGTTTGAAAATTTTAACTTAGATTTTGACCAGTTTGAGTTTACCATAATTAAATTATGTTTGATTTACAGAGTACGGTGGTTTTGAAGATTAGAACACATTGCGACGGCTGCATTCACAAGATGCGAAAAATTATCTTGAAAGTACATGGTAAGTTAATTAATTATGATTTATTTAAGCTTAAATTAATAGTGTTTGATGATGTGATGGTGTTAATTAATAGATTAATTAATTTAATTAAATATGTGGCAACGTTGATGTGGTTTTATTTTTAATTAAAAACAGGAGTTGAATCAGTGAACGTTGATGGAGCTAAAGATTTAGTAACAGTAAAAGGCACAATGGACGTGAAAGACCTCGTTCCTTATCTTAAGAATAAGTTGAAACGCAATGTCGAAGTGGTTCCGCCTAAGAAAGACGACGACGGTGAGAAGAAAAAAGACGGCGGGGAGAAGAAAGATGCCGGCAGTGATACTAAAGAGAAAGGAAAAGAAGCCCCTGCTGCTGCCGGAGGCGAGAAAAAAGAAGGCGGAGAGAAGAAGAAGGAAGGCAGCGGCGGAGAGAAGAAAGAAGGAGGTGAAACGAAGATGGAAGTGAACAAGATGGAGTATCATGGGTACGGGTATCCTCCACAGCCAATGTATTGGTCGGAGGGACACGTGTATGACGGTCCGAGTTCGAGTTATGTGGCGGAAGGGTATCATAATCACCACCATAACGAGTACGGATACATGAATCAAGGGTACATGTCTCATCCCGGGTATGTTAATCAAGGGTATTTGATGGACCCGCGGCATCCCCTTCACGCACCTCAGATGTTCAGCGACGAGAATCCAAACGCCTGCTCCGTCATGTAAGACGGTGGACGATCAACAAAAAGGAGGGGACCAAATGTAAAATAGAAATATTTTCGAGGGAAAAAATTGTAAATATGGAAGCTCATGAAAATGGCGAATTAATCGGAAATAGTAGAATTTTGGAACCATCAAACCGGCCGAAGCCGGCTTGGCTTAGAGCGGGTTGATGTTGAGAGGGTCGTCGGTTCTTTTGTTTGTTGTATTTTTTCTAAATGGAATTATGAAATAGAAATTGAATTTCATTTTATATGTGATAAAATAACATTGGTGGTGATTAGCGAGTGGCAATGGAGGATGCCACGTGGTGCCTTCGTTGGTTTAATTTAATGTTGTTTCATTTGTTGCTTACATTATTAATGCCTGCCCGGTTGCCTGGTTTGGTTTATCAGTGGGGACTGGTAATTAGATTAGCAATTTTTTTTATTTTAGGTAAAATTACAGATTTGATCATTTTTATTTAAGTTTTATAAACTTATGGTTACTGGATCTAAAAAAAATAAGTTTTGGTCACTTATATTAACGTTTTATTAATATTTAACCACTAAGACGTTAGTTACTGTAAGTTAGATGACATGGCATATTACTAAAAAGATTTAATTTTTATTTTAACCCTTGAACTATAGATAAATTCTAATAATGGATCTTTTATAAACCCAAAATAATTCATGGATAAAACATCAATTTACCTCTTTTTACTCCTCTCTACAGCTCCTCTACAGACATGACCAAGGATTCAAATAGCCGAACGAAAATGCAATAGCATCTGCGAAACAGTGGTAATATCACCGATCGAAACCGATATTGATAAATTTAGCGGTGGGTAGCGGATTCACATCAATAACGGTCTGTCGCGTCCGCAATTTAACGGGTACCAGTGTGTAGCGTCGGTAACGGGGTACTATTAACGTTAATCGACTGCTACTTAAAAATAGAAAAACTAAAATTTTCATCCGAAAAATGCAAGGAATGACACTGCAAAAGTAAAAAAAGAAAGAAAGAAAGAAAGAAATATCAATCCAAAATCCAAACTCGGTTTAAATGACACTAAATTAAATCCAGCAACAAAGTTTCAAACATGTATTATAAAAAATATATCTCTAAACTCTAATTTGTTTTTTAAAAAATAGAGCATATCAAAAGTTAAGACTCAAGACTCACCAAAGATTAAATCGGGAAGAGAATAAACCGACAAAACATAACTGTTTTGAGAGAAATCTTGCGTTCATTTATATTCGCTGCCGGTGAAGAAGTTGACCGGTAACAGCCAATAGACTTCCATTTTAGAAGGTAAATAAAAATTTATGTAATTCAAATTTTACACTTTTATTTTAATTATATTTAATTTAGTCATTTTTTGTTTTTTAAATTTCATTCAATATTTCGACGTTCAATTTTATTTTAATTTAGTATTATATTTGGTTAAACTATATTATATATATATGTTTTTTGCTTTAAAATATTTTAAAAATCATTAAAAATGGATAATTGTAATTATAATCATAACTATTATATTTAAGGATAAGTTGTGCGAAATTTTAAAAAAATTATGACCGCGGCACCCGCAGTGACCTCAATGACATCCATTATGTATGCAACCGCGATAAACTCGAAGCGACCGCAAACGCTATTTAAATCCCAAGTCGTGACCCTCACTGTAACACCCTTAGACCCGTACCCGACCCGATTACGAGTCTGAGGTGTCACATTGACTTTTCAAACTTTGACTCTTGACCAAAATTCAAATTGGATTTTTAAAACTTCCATTAAAATAAAAGCGATTTATCTACATAAATTGACAAAAATAACCAAAATCGATCAGAGCATATTCAACTCAATCACTTAGTACATGCCAACTGTATTCAAATTAACCAAAAACATATAAATCATCTATTTTCTGATATGAAATTTTGTAAGGGAGATGCTGACCTGTCTTGATCTTCTTCGCTTCTCTTCTTGCTTCAGTAACCTACGTGTGAAACAATCACACGCTAAGTCTATGACTTAGTGAGGCAACTACACATATAATGCAAACTTTAACTAATAATCATACATAAACAATTACTACTATCATTCATACCATTCATACACTTTTACAGGTAACAAATACATATATCCACATATGTCATTATTATTCATATATTTTATCTCAACTTCATATGATCTCTTATATTCATATCATTTATCTTGTAAACTTGTTACTATATCATCATGTAAATCAATTATAATCATTCACATATACTTTAACATGTACTCATATATGTCCTATCATAAAACACATACACAGAAGCAACTATATCATCATCTTCATGCTTATCACTATCATTGATTCTGTAATTACCATTTGTACAATCATATATCACACATAACATTTCACAAGGAAACAAACATATCATCATATCAAGTTTATTAATATTATCTCTTTATTAGCCTATGTACACATGTGAGAACTATACATATGTGAGTCTATAGAGGTTGTGCACAAATGTTGTCACCACAGCTCGTATAAATGCACCGAAGTTCCGCGTAGAAATGAACCGTAGTGCCACGTAGAATTGTACCGAAGTGCCATATAAAATGTCCCTAAGGACCACGTAAAACATTCCTTAAGAATCATATACATATACAAAGGATCAAGTATGTGTCTCAAAAGACATCACACATGTTCCAAGGAATACATATATGTCCCGAAGGACCGCGTAGACCCTCGACTCTTGGCATGTCAACTATACCCCTAGCTCTCATGACACATATCATGGGCATTAATATCTATGTCATTTTATATTCACACATTCATAACACTTATCTCTTATTGCATGTCTGATCTCTTATAATCATGTAATCACATAGCTCATGTCATTTCTTGTGAAATCATACATATCATGTAAGACATATCAGACATGTACACACAAATCACTTCCATATAATTCACATGATTTATTATCCCGTAGATCATATCACATTTTCATACAATTTCACAAATCATTGTCATATATGGATATCATATTTGTACTTAATAACATAGATAATGTTATATAACACTAAAATCCCACAGTTCCTATTTCGTAGCTTATATATATTGTTCTTATATTTTTTTATAGACATATAAACACCTAGATCATAATTCCCTAATTTATTGTACATAATCATATCATCATTTATATTCATAACCCCTAGCTCATATTTTGTTCTCTTATGCTTACATAGATCCTATAACATATATTATAGCATACTAACATATATCACTTATATAAATTCATTTATATACAAATTTCTTATATTCTCTTAATTCAAGTTTACATATTTCGTTTCCATATAACCCATATCATATAAATTCTCACCTCATAACATATAATATGAATAAGGCATATACACATAATACAAACTTAATCATGCTTCTATTCATGCAAACATATAAAATATTGGAAACAGACTTATCACAAGTCTAATTTTTATATAATAATATGCACAATATAATAATATGCACTCACCTTGGCCTCACTAAGTTCCAATTCACTTTTATGATTTCCTTTCTTTCGATCGAATCTTAACTTGAGGATCGTTCCGGACCTTGTTCGTGTTCGATATCTACATAATCATACATTGATACATATCAGTATCCCATTGATATACACTAATCTATCATTTCTTAGGCCAAAAGAAATGTCTATTTCAATTTCCCTTGAAGTGCATCGATGCATTCTACAGTGTATCGATGCATCCCTTAACATGTGCATCGATGCACTCCTTATACATCGATGCATTAATTGCATTCAATGTTTCCATTTTCAAGGGGTGCATCGACGCACATACTGTGCATCGATACACACTGAACAATTTCTGGAAATTTACCCTTGATGCATCGGTGCACATTGAATGTGCATCGATGCACATAGCCCAGAATTCATTTTAAGCCTGAAAATCCACTCAAATCAACTCAAATACTTCATCTTTCATCCCCTTTCATGTTCTTAATTCATATACACATGCTTAAACCAATGTATATCCATATAAGCCATCTTTAACTTCAAAATCTTATCCTCCTTATGAAATTCAAGAATCATACTCAATTTCTAGCATGTTCCAAATTCAATTTTATTACTTCATATCTCTTAATTAGATTGATGACAAGTCAAATTTAACTTCCAATTCAAGTTATGAACTCTATTCCAATATTTCTTCTAAGAACCTCAAATCTTTAATCCCTCCTAAGTCCACCATACTTTGATTTTAAGATAACTTGAGCTTTCCTTAAGCATAGTTATCATCTAATAATCAAAAACCAATCTTAAATTTAACCAAAAACCCAATAATCAGAAAACTCACCTTTGGCTCTTGGTTTTCACGCGTGAAGGAAGAAGAAAGATGAAGAGAACTCTGGAACTTCTTTTCCCTCTTCCCACGTGGTTTCCTTATCTTATAAGGGAAAATAAAAATATTTTATGTCAAATGACCATTTTGCCCTTTACTTAATCTAATAATTACTAACAACTTTTATGATTTATTTCTAAATAAATCATTGAACTAATCCATTGTTTTACTCTAGTCACCAAATTCTGAAACTTTATAATTTGATCACTAACCCGGTATTGAGGATGTTACAAATCTCCCCTTCTTTTAAGAAAATTCGTCCTCGAATTTTCATTGAACATATCCATAAGAACATATCTTCTAATGTTCTCATGCTACCTCCTTTATTTAATCTTTCATTCCTTTATTCTTTTCAACTATCTTTTCCCCTTATATGTTCATCTACTATCACTTATCATATAAACAGCAACTAGTAACTTTAATCCATTTATGCCTTTTCTCTCCTTCCATTGTGCATTTTCCTTTAACCATTTCTAAAATTTCATATAATGTCACTAATCACGTAGACAGAAACATCCATTTTCATCACTTAACCTCGTAAATCCATCTTTAATTACCTTATAACAATAACCAAACTCATTTTCCATCATCATTTGACCAAGAACCCAATATTAAATCTTCTACAAATATGATTAACATACACTTTAAAGAATA